CTAAACTAAACCAAAAGAAACTAAACCAAGCTAAGCTAAACCAAGCTAAACTAAGCTAAACTAAACCATGCTAAACTAAACCAAGCTAAACTAAGCTAAGCCAAGCTAAACTAAACTAAGCTAAACCAAACTAAACCAAAAGAAACTAAACCAAGCTAAACTAAACCATGCTAAATTAAACCAAGCTAAACTAAGCTAAGCCAAGCTAAACTAAACTAAACTAAGTTAAACCAAACTAAACCAAAAGAAACTAAACCAAGCTAAGCTAAACCAAGCTAAACCAAAAAAAAAACTAAACTAAACCAGACTAAGCTAAACCAAGCTAAGCTAAACCAAGCTAATTAAACCAAGCTAAGCTAAACTAAACTAAGCTAAACCAAGCTAATTAAACCAAGCTAAACCAAGCTAAGCTAAACTAAGCTAAACAAAAGAAACTAAACTAAACCAGACTAAACAAACCTAAAATTAAACTAAACTACTTTCATGAGTTACAGTAGCACTTGTTTGCAGACTTTGTACTAAACTGATAAACTGTGAGAATCAAGTTGAGTCATTCAATAAAAACAAAGACTGTTATGAATTTATCTTTCAGGCGCTCGTGTGATTAAACTGCTTATGTCTGTCTGCTGCTTAGTTTTCCAGTTTCACATTTAAGTTAGATTTTAAACGAACACATTACTATGAAATCTAGCAGACCGTAGCTACTCTAATGGTTTTTGGAGGTGATGGGGATCCAGCCACAGAGCACCACACGGGTGGATAACACCAGCACCCTCTCCTCCTGCTCGTACCTCCACGTTCTTCTTGCTGTACAGAGTGAAGCAGCCGATGGTCTCGATCTCTCTGTTGGCAGAAGCTCTCGACGGGCCCTCGAGGCGGAGCTGGACTGAGGGGGGAAGCTCCGAGTACAGCTGATAGGACAGATTTCTCATCACGCACAGGGAGTTCTCCAAACCCTGAACACGCAGACAGGAAAGAAAAAATGGATATCAGTTAAAAGAGCGACCGAAACAAACGGGCTCAAAGCAGCGAGTCTTAGTCACCGTGTCGACTCTGATGAGCTTCAGACACTAAGAGCACATTACAGCGAACATCTGCATCCACACAGAAAGAAGTCTGAACCCTTTTCACACGCGACCCAAACCACTGCACCATTAATAACGTGGAGAGTCGGCCACCATCGAAAACTGGGAATGACTGAGGATTCCCTCACCCTCGTCCTTTAAGCTGGCACATCACGATATCCCGTTTCAGTCGCCCCGCCCCCGCTCTGACCCGAGGACAGATGAAATCTATTTTTATTAACCAGCTGTTTTCTTTCTCCCAGCCTTCTTTATGATGCACTGCTGCAGTTTTACATCTTTGCACTTTTTACCAACAGCACAGAGATGATCTCAGAGGAATAACTGGAATACTGGCCACAATAAAAATAGAACAAAGACACACAGGAAATGTCTTCAGTTTTATTCATTTAGTGACACATTCCAGCACAACCCCCCCGAGGAGACTTTGGGAAATCCGTTGAGTGGGACGGCGGTGAGTCAGCGACTTCCTGACAAACACCAGTCCAGACTGCACCAG